CTACGGTCCTGCGCACAGTATACTGTGTACTTGTACTACGGTCCTGCACACAGTAAACTCCTCTTTACGTGAAAACCTTTGAGAAGTGTCCTGTATGCAGGAAAAAGCTCTTGAATGTGTGGGTTTGGTATATTCCTGCTTTAATTCCTGCCTTAAGCTGCGAGTGCCTCTCTTCTTAAAGCCTGATGAGGAGGATGAGGACAAGAACGAGGAAGATCTACTCCAGCTGCTCCTGAAGAGTCTTCCACTCAGTAGCTTGGACATTTCAAGCAGTCCACAAGATGGCCGATTGACAACATTTGCATATAGTAAACTTTGTACACAGTGCAGTATACTTGTTAAATTACATTTTTTATTTTTGGCCTTTATTGTAAAGGTTGTGGACAACCAACATTTGGGAGGAAACCAGATTAAGAGGTTGTCCGCTGGACAACCTGGAATATTTCTTTGTCTACCCCTGTGAGAAAATGTGTTACCAGAAATGTGTGGTCCAAGAGAGATTGTGAAAAGAATTGTTTGCAAACAGGTCTGACGCTGAGCATGCTGCGGGGCAGCAAGACTGGCGTCTACATCGGAGTGAGTGGCTCAGAGGCTGGTGAGGCCTTCAGCAGGGATCCAGAGGAGCTGCTGGGCTACAGTATGACTGGCTGCCAACGGGCCATGCTGGCCAACAGACTGTCCTACTTTTTTGACTTCAAAGGTATGTATACACGGAGTACACTTGTTGTCTTGTTTGTCTAACGTGTGTTAGGGTTAACCGTTGCCTTCAATTTGAACGTTTTAATACCAATTTACAAGGGAAGGAATCAATTGAAAGATCTGTAGTTGGTCACACACATGTGATATGCTATCCATAGATTAAAGCCTAAAATGGTAAATAGACTACTTGTATAGTACCTGTACTGACTGCTGGTGGATTCAAACTCTCCCATTGGAGGACAACCACTCAGCCACAGCTGCCATGCTAAAACTGAGCTCACACTCTCCTATAAGACAGTAACATACAACACAAACATGCTTTAGGCATCGGTGTCAAACTTTACGGACTGAAAGTCTCTGAAATGTCAAATGATGCCATTAAACTACAGAAGATGAGAGTACAACATACCATACCATACCATACCAATTTATTTATAGAGCACTTAAAACAGCAACAAGGCCAACCAAAGTGCTGTACAAAAGAACCAAACATGCACAGCAGACAGGAAAACATAAAATAGAAATACAGATACAAATAGCAGCAGAAGCTAACTAAAATCGCCAACAGAGTAGAGAACAGACCGGACCAAAACAAATCACACTGTGTTAAAGGCAAGCGAATAGAAGTGGGTCTTCAAGCGAGACTTAAAGACCGAGAGTGTGGGAGCCTGCCGGACACTCAGTGGCAACTCATTCCACAGTCGTGGACCTGCAACAGAGAAAGCCCTGTCACCTCTGAGCTTACGACGGGTTTCTGGGACTGAGAGAAGCATCTGGTTTGCTGACCTCAGAGAGCGCGGTGGGACATATGGCTGCAGAAGATCAGTGAGATAGGATGGGGCGGAACTGTTCAGTGATTTAAAAACATACATGAGAATTTTGACATGGATCCGAAGGTGAATGGGTAGCCAGTGCAGGGAGGCCAAAACTGGCGTGATGTGCTCTCTATAGCCTGTACCAGTTAAAAATCGGGCTGCAGCATTTTGGACCAGTTGTAGACGAGCAATGGAGGACTGACTGATTCCAAACAGAAGTGAATTGCAGTAATCAAGCCTAGATGTTATGAAGGCGTGGATCACTGTCTCAAGGTTCTTGGAGAGTATAGGCTTCAGCTTAGACAGCCGTCTCAGCTGAAAAAAACAGGATTTGACCATCATGTTTACGTGACTGTTGAGTTTTAAGGACGGGTCCATTATCACCCCCAGATTAGTCACCTTTTGTTTCTCTAGCGGGGCTAGAGAGAAAAGGTCAATGTCATGGTTCATGAGTGAGCCACTGGGATGGAACAGCATGACTTCGGACTTCTTCTCATTGAAGCTTAAGAAGTTTAAAGCCATCCAGTCCCGGATGTCAGCCAGGCAGTCAAGAAGAGGCTGAATAGAGCGTGTGCCTCTGTGCCTCAGGGGGAAGTAAATTTGGCAATCATCGGCGTAGAAATGAAAGGGTATGTCATGTTTGCGGAAGATAGCACCTAGTGGCAGCAGGTATAAAGAAAAGAGAAGGGGACCGAGGATGGACCCCTGCGGTACCCCCCACTGGAGCGCTGTCGATGCCGAACTAAAATCTTTGATATTGACACAGAAGGTTCTGTCAGAGAGGTGGGACCCAAACCATTTAAGGGCTGACCCTGTGATGCCCACCCACTGCTCCAGTCTAGAAATGAGGATCTTGTGGTCGATGGTGTCAAAAGCAGATGGCAGATGTAAGGTCCAATAGGACAAGCAGCACAGAATCACCTGCGTCTGTGGAAATGAAAATGTCATTAAAAACCTTCAGTAGAGCAGTTTCAGTGCTATGGAGAGATTTGAAGCCAGATTGGAATAACTCTAGGATAGCGTGATCCCCCAAAAACTCTTTCAATTGAGACTCCACAATTTTTTCCAGTAGTTTAGAGGTGAATGGGAGTCTGGAGACAGGCCGGAAGTTGGACATGACTGAGGGGTCAAGGTTAGGTTTTTTCAGGAGGGGCTGGACAGCAGCATGTTTAAGTCTTTGGCACCACACCTGAGGGTCAGTGTGTACTGACACATCTGTCAGTGGTTCAAATGTATAACATTTACTTTGCCATCAGTCTCTCATTACACTTTTTTTTACGTAGTTTTATGATTATTTGCAAACTCAAAAGGTGAACGCTGCAGCCTGCAGTATTGTAATAATTCACGAGGAATAACTGCGCAATGGGAAACTGATAGCAGTGTAAAGAAATGTTCACATGAATCACTGGGAAAGACTGGAGTTGGTTTAAAGCTGCTCCATTCAGACTGGTTTTTCCTGGTGTTAGCTCTTCATACTGGCCAAAATGAAATTTATTTATCCATTCAAAAGCTATCTGCTACAGGTAAGATGTTCATTGTTCATAATGTTTCCATGGAGGCCCTTTTTAACGATCTGAACTTTCCCTTTAAAAGCAAAGTGGACTTTCACTGCACATAAATTTAATCCTATTTCAGTGTGCAGTGTTGCCTGATAATCAGGTTTGGCTGAACTTGAATTATTTTAATTAGTTTCTTTCAGGGATAAACAAAACCTCATTCATTCATTCATTCATTCATTCAATCATTTATTCAACAAACCCAATAGAGATGAACTCCCAGTTGCATCGTTGGTACCTACTACACAATACCATGTACTGTAAATGTATCGTGTGTTTATAGAACCCAAGTTCTAGAAATGTATTTTAGTATTGTTAGCAGTGACAAACTGAAAGTTTTTTTTAGTTTTGAATCATTAAATTTTTTATTTATTTTTCCCCCAGGCCCTAGCTTGACGATAGACACAGCCTGCTCCTCCAGCTTGTTGGCTTTAGAAAATGCCTTCCATGCAATCCAGCAGGGCCATATTGATGCTGCTCTGGTAGGGGGGGTCAACTTGCTGCTGAAGCCAAATACCTCAGTTCAGTTCATGAAACTGGGAATGCTCAGTCCTGAGGGAACCTGCAAGTCCTTTGATGCATCAGGTAAAATAAATTGTATTTGATCCACAATGCTTGACATTTGTTTATTATAAATTAAAAAAAGATACATTTTTATAAATTCTGAGTGTGTGGTATATGTGTGCGGTTACTGTAATACTTGTTAAATTTTTGATCAGGGAACGGATACTGCCGCTCTGAAGCAGCAGTAGCAGTGCTGCTGACGAAGCGATCCGTGACCAGAAGAGTGTACGCCACCATAATTAATGCAGGCAGCAATACTGATGGATACAAAGAGCAAGGTAGGCAGACACTTGGGTTGCTCATCTCTGGTCTGTGGCCGTGTGTCAAGACACAAGGATTTAATTTATTAAAGATACACAAGCACCAAAACCCAATACGACATGATTCAACTGTGATCTCATCACAACATAATTCAACTTGTAATCATGATACAATTCAGCCTTTAGTAATGATGATTAAAGGCTGAATCACATCATGATTAGAGGTTGAACTGTGCCATTAATAAAGTTATCAACAAATAAACAGCAAAACAGACAAATGAACCTATTTCAATTATTGAGACTAATTATTTATTACTTAATAAGAAATTGCCTGCTAAAACGAGTCTTATTAACTCTTACACTTTCACAAAACGTGACTCAACAAAACTCCTGGTACAAACGTAATAAAACTGCCAGCAGCAGATGTATTCATGCACAACATTTCTTTCTGAAACTAGTTTATCTCCATAATTGTTGTGAGCACATTTTCTTTTTCTGAATGAGCTTTTCTCCAATGATTGTTTTTATTTTCAGGCGTAACGTTCCCATCAGGTGACGTACAGCAGATGTTGCTTCGTTCTCTCTACGAGGAGTCAAATATCACTCCTGAGCAGGTGGAATACATCGAAGCTCACGGCACCGGAACAAAGGTCTAGTTTCCTAAACACGACTGTTATCCACTTCACCTCATACATACTATTGATGTCAGAACTTATGTCATTTATTTATTTCTAAATGTAAAAGTTCTCTGTACTTGTGCATCTAGGTACTCACCAGGATTATCTTATTCATCTCGTCTGTGTTAACAGGTTGGGGACCCACAGGAAGTGAATGGTATTGTCAGTGTCTTCTGCCAGTCAAGGAAAGAGCCCTTGCTTATTGGCTCCACCAAGTCCAACATGGGCCATCCAGAACCAGCTTCTGGACTGGCAGCCCTGGCAAAGGTAAGATGAACAGCAAGCAAGTTTTTTATTTATTTTTTATACCCTTTTTTAGATTACATCTGCTTTCAGTCATTTTCAGAAAACCTTTTTTTTTTTTCACATTTTTCAGATGATAATTTCATAATGGATTCTAAATCTTAACTTGTGGTAACACTTTATATCCAAAAACAAAAAGCTCTTCCTTCAAAGGTCCAACTATTTTGACTTCTAGTTGATATCTATAGTGACAACTATTCCAGGCCCTGAATGACTGAGAATCTACACTGGCTTGATCAAGTCAGTAGCAACAAATCCTAGAGAAATGTCATCGTCTTCAAAACTGAAAGCTGCTGAAATGTTTCATCACTAAACTGTTGATGTGAGTTAAATTTGAACAGCTGATGAATGCAGGAAAATAAAAGTGGAAAACAGCTGAAACGAGTAGAAAAACATAAATGGAGCAGAAATGAGCTGAATAAGCTAAAATAGGCAGAGATGGGCTGAGAAAATACAAAAAATCTGAAATTGACCATAAATAAATAACTATAAATAAACTGAAATGAACAAATAAAGCTAAAATTAGCCAAAAAAGCAGTAAAAGATTATAAACGGTACAAAGAGTGAAGGATGTGAAGAACACTGCTCCCTTTCAATGACAAAAACATGGCAGACAAAGCTAAATATTTCAAAAAATAAAAATTGCACAAATACTAAAAGTTGTAGCAGGAATGTCCTGAATGAGCCGAACGTTTTGATGTTTAATTTTTTACAATAGCTCATAACAAGCGGAATGAGTTACACTGCGAAACTTGTACTGAACAAAAAAGGATCTTGTGTGTTTTATAATTTAAAAGTGTTCACACAACTAGTGAAAATATACATTACTGGAAATTGAAATGGATGGATTTTTTTGGATAATTTGGATTTATAGCTTGAAACTGGTAGTTTGAGTTTACTGTATTTGGGGCGAGAGCTTCTTCTCAGACCTGCTTCTTTTTTTAGATAAATGATTTTTTGTGAAACACGTACAAGTTCAGGTTTGGTTTATTTGTCATATGCAAATCAACACAAGGTCAACAATGCAATGAAATGCTGAGGACGAGAAGAACCGTCTCAACTCGCCAAAACAACAACGACAAGAAATGCCAAAGCATGCAGCAAAACACAAACACACAAACACAGCGCCAAGGATGAAAAGAAATGCATCTGCAGTGAGGTTCTTTCAGCAGCATGGCTCTGTTAGCGGCATGGTCTTGTCAGCAGGGCCCGTTAGCAGCTTGATGGTAATAACGACCGCAACAGCTGCAGCTGATTACCGATGACTGCAGTAATCTTTAAAAAATAAATAAATACAAAATCAGTGTGCTGTTTAGAACAACAGTAGAATTTGTACAAATAGTTTAATTTTTTTATGTTTCACATATGACGACCCTTGACCACTGTTTTCATCTCTCACTCAGGTGTTACTTTCTTTGGAGCGAGGTGTTTGGGCTCCTAACCTGCACTACCATGATCCCAATCCAGACATTCCTGCCTTGACCAACGGCCAAGTTCAAGTTGTCGACCGACCCCTTCCTGTCCGAGGAGGCATCGTGGGGGTCAACTCTTTTGGTTTTGGAGGCTCGAACGTTCACATCATTCTTCGTCCTGCTGAGAAACCAGCTAGCTCAAATTCACCACGGGTGGTTCCCAAAGTGCTTCAAGCCTGCGGCCGAACGGAGGCCGCAGTGAACGCCATACTGCAAAAAGGAAAGGAGCACTCCACTGACGACAGCTTCCTGTCTCTGCTGAATGGAGTGGCAGGAGCTCCCACTGCCAGCATGCCCTACAGGGGCTACGCTCTTATTGGCTCTCAGAGTGACATCACAGAGGTGCAGATGGGGCAGGCTTCAGCCAGACCTCTTTGGTACATCTGTTCAGGTAACTCACGACACACAAAGGAGACTTTTCAGTGCCGTTTAGTCGGGTTCAGATATGTAAACGGGTGACTGTGTATTTACAGGCATGGGAACACAGTGGGCAGGTATGGGCCGCAGTCTCATGCAGCTTCCAGACTTTAAGGAGTCCATTCTGCGGTCAGATGCTGCTCTGAAGGACACAGGCCTGGTTGTGTCTCGTCTGCTCAACGAGGCTGATGATGCAACGTTTGAGGACACTGTTCACGCCTTTGTTGGCCTCGCTGCCATACAGGTAGAAACAAATACAACATGCACAGAAAAAACTAGGTGCCATTTTCTCGTGGAATGTACATTTTGCCTCCGTTTAATGCTCCAAATATTTTGACCAAACCTTGGGCGGGCGCACTTTTTATGGTTTCAAAGTACAAAGACTGGAGTTTAATACAGTTTGAATTTGTAGTTGAAGGAGCCTGCAGGCCCAGAGCAGTCATCAGCACTGCTCACAATGCTTTCATGATCACAGTTTAAACATTGTTTGGGACTTGTATTTACAGTCACTCACTTGATTTTGATAGCAAGAATGTAGAGGCCAAAAGATTTGAGCTTTAAATTATTTAAAGATTTCTGTAGACAAATTATCAAAAAAGTTAAAACCTTACAAGCGTCGGGATGACCCGACTGAACATTGTGGGGTTAAAACCTTACAGTTCACAGAGCACATACTCTTATCTGTAGGTTACAGGGGCATGACCTCTTCAAGTTCAAGTCAAGTTTGTGTCATTCTCGTCACATGTGGTACATGAGGTGGAACAAAATTATGTACACACGGTCCCAGTTACACCTAAAAAATGGCAAAAAAATAAAGTGTAAAAAGTAACAGCATATAAGGATCTAAGATATAAACCAAGATATACGCTAAATAAATGCCAAAGGGTACGCTAAAACATCTAAAGATATACACTGAACACTAATAATGTAAAACAATATGGCGTAACAATAGCAGCCTGAACATGAGTCTAATATGAATTCATATTTTTTAAAGAAATGCTTATCGAGGCTTAACTTCTGTGAGAGTAAACACTCGTTCTGTAATGTGTCAAAGCCTGAGAACTTGTTCTGTCTGTGTTTACAGATCGCTCTGACTGATCTGCTGACAAAAATGGGTCTCCAGCCTGATGGCATCATTGGACACTCAGTGGGAGAGCTGGCCTGTGGATACGCTGATGGTTCCCTCAGCCACAGCGAGGCCATCCTGGCTGCCTACTGGAGGGGTCACTGCATCAAAGAGGCCAAACTCCCTCCAGGAGCAATGGCTGCAGTTGGTGAGTGAGTGGACTGGTTTAGGGCTGCACCGATTTGCAGTTTTCTGGCCGATAACCGATTTCTAAAAAGTCTGACCTGCCGATTCCGATTTTGGCCGGTATTGATTTTGTTTTATAATCGACACTGTCCGGTGTTATAAGGTCACAATGCACCTTCAATTTTCCAATATTATTTTACTGAAAAACATTCCCTTGAACAATATCCTATAAATAATACAGACTTGTTTTAACTGTCCATGAGGTAGTGCTCTGAAACATAAATGAAGTTTAGACTATTGTTGTTAAAACTACAAAAATCTGTCAAATCGGTTTCTCATTCACGTATCGACCGATTTCCCAAAATTAAGGAAATCGGGGCCGATAAATCAGCCGGCTAATTTATCAGTGCACCCCTAGATTGGTTTGTTAGTCTTCACTAGAATTCAACATGCAGTGTTAAGGTATTTGGATCGCAGACTGGGGCAGAATAAAACTACAGCCATAGCAAAAGTTTTTGTCAGTAACACAAGTGTTATTTATGTGGCTTTAAAAGGAAAGTCAGTTTTGAAGTGATGGCCAAATAGTTATTAATAGTACCTCATCATTGTTCAGATCATTACTGTATATGCTTCTCAAGGTTCTCAGTCTGCCAGGAGTTATACAAACTTTTCTAAATAGACACACTGATCAGGTGGACTGATACCTTCAGCAGCCTCAGGATAAACACAGTCCATGTTCAGAGGATTCATGTCGTAAAGTATAAAGGTATATTCATCTAGTAACACAGACAACGTTCTAACTAACTAAACAAATGGTGTCATGCTAAAGTGGAAAAGTTTAATATTAGCCAATGTAGCATTCTTTAACACAAGTATGTCTGTTTGAAATAATGCTCAAATTGGACTGTTGTTGGGCTCACCATTAACTTGGCCTGGACAAAGACATTTAGCCTTTTCTCTATACTTCATACTTTATGACAGATGCCACAGCTGAGGGGTACTAACTGATGACTGTTAGACAAACGATCACTTCAAAAATGACCAGACTATCCCTTTAATTTCTTGCATACTTCTATCTGTAGAACATTTTGCGTGTATTGTTTCAAGGTGATTAAGTCACTGACGGGTACAAAGAGCTAGATGGGAGAAATGCTATTTGAATGAGTATGAGATGTAAATTTAAAATTGTGTTATTTATGATGCATGTGTTGCATTTTCCAGGGCTGACCTGGCAGGAGTGTATAGCTCAGTGTCCCCAGGGAGTCGTTCCAGCCTGCCACAATGCTGAAGATACGGTCACTGTCTCTGGCCCTCAGGTTAGACGTGAAGATATAACTTTCACTGTTGTGGCAAGATGAGGTTGGGTGACGTTTCTTTGCTGGGTGAAGCTCTTCTAGTAATACTTCAAGCCTGGGTGTTCTGATCTCTCATTATTTCTGCCTTGACAAAACTGGGGTTTGTATGGGATTTGAACTCATGACCCTGAAGAGACTGATGAGCTGTATGACTGAAAGGACGGTGTGACCTGGTGTCAGAATGTAGTCCGACACATACTCTGCACGACAGATCTGCAACTGGTGAAGAAATGTCAATCTAATCATTCTGATTTTGGAAACTCTAGGAACCGCGAGTAAACCTGCAGTCTGAGAGCAAAGTGCTCTGTTAGGAAAATATGGAACAATAAGATCTGTAATATAAGATGGAGCTAGGTTGTTGAGAGCTTTGTAGG